AGATGAAACGCTTTCAAACCTACATTACTTGATTTAGTCCGTTCCACTTGGAGGACAAAACAACGCAAACCTAACCATGTGGTTAACGACTCTCTCCGCAACGTGGCGGTGAGGATACATGCAGAAGTGTCCATGTGATTAGCTTGGATGCAGCTAAACTGGATTAACATACCATATCTGTCAAATGAAGAAACAAACGAGTGAGCGCTTTCGTTTCGTTTCCTGTTTCATTTCTCACGCACTCACTGACCTAAAACAGCTCTCCATACTATTTTGCGTGTGCACATCCCATTCCCACTTCCATCTATCGTAATGCAGTAGCGCATTTAAGTCGGTAAAGGCTTGAAATAACGATTTACTTATTCGATGCTCCACTGCATTTTAATTTTTACTCAAACCGTCCTGCGGCACTTGTCAAGCACACGCTTTTTTATTCCTGGCAAAGCATTGTTCATTGTTAATTGTTCACACAGTTATTTGCTCTTGGATGAGACACGCGCTGATTGCTGCTACTCACAGAGGCATCCGGCACGTCATCCTCTGAGTCGCTGCCTAGTTTTTCTTCTAGTCTGTCCTCTAACCTTTTACTGACGATTTCATCGTCAACAGCTGTCAGATCTGAGGTACATTCCACATGGTAGTCAGTGGTGACGAACTCTACTTCATTCATGACTGGGATTGTGTAAGCGCTGATCTCACCATCAACGATGACGGCGTCATCAGAAATAGCATCGGATTCTAGTCGACTGAAGCCAGCATGCCGAAAGCACACCATTCTTGTCCCACCGGCAACCTGTCTCCAACTTTTTGAATGGAACGTAATTGCTTTGTGCACAGAAATCTTGGCGTTGACATCCACCGCCGATGATGAGCCAGATGACACGTTGCTTTCGATGTGATAAGAAATTCGGTACACAATTTCCTTTCTGTAACGGGTTCTCAGATGCATAATCACACTTTGGTCCATGAGTTGAAGAATGTTGGCCGTGTTTGCCTACAAAAGTTCCATTTGAATGTCTTTCAGTCCTTCTACCTGTGGATGCGCTTTGCAATTATCCAAGAAAACATAACTTTCGGCCAACTTGGCCTAGCTGCTTGTCCCATTCGAGGACCCACTCGAGGAAAAGTTCTTTCGACATCCACGCATTGTTGTTTGCTCTGTAACTACCTTCACGCCATTAAAACAGCGTGGTTTCTTACCTTTTCCAATCGATACTAGTGTCCTTTTCCGTGCCAGATATATTCACGCAGCACAGGAAAGTTATCCTATCCATGGATTTTTCGATCTGCTGGGCTTGTCGGCAGCAAAACACAAACAGCATTCTGGAGTTGCTCGGCGGAAAAGACCTGTTTCTTCTGCATTGTACAAGTTGTCATCATAAAGTCAGTTAAAAGTTCGGGCAATCGATCTTTCAGCCAATTTTCACAGACCGCTCTGTCCGCGGAAAGCTTTGCGCCATGTGCACGTTTGTACACAATTTGAGTTCTATTCTTCCTTGTTCGCAACCGTTTTTCTATGGCAACGCAGGTTTTTCCAAGTCCCCCAAGATTTTTCTTCACTTTGCTTCAGAAGCGGGCCTGTAATCTTTTGGTTGTGCTCACGAATCGAGATCATCCAGTCTTTCACTGCAGTTTCTTCTTCATCCTTTCCACACCGCTTCCTTTGGTGAGAGCTTGCAGTGCCACGCGACAAATTCTACCGGAGTTCTTTTTTACTAGGAATCAACCTGGTTAGGGTAGGACAAGAAATGTGTAAATCACGCGACATCTTGACCTACGAGGTTCCTGGTGGATGTTTTAATTTGTCCAAAACGTCCAACTTTCCTGTCGAGGACAAACTCTTTTTGTTACTTGGCATACTTGTGTATACACAATAGAGTATTGACAAATGTGGAGCGGGAAGTTTACCCGATTTTGCTCAGTTCTCGAGTTTTGCATTGGGTTGAGGGTTTGCCCACAGCCGTCTGTACATTTAGCTTGTCCGTATATTGAATGACATAGGTAACTTCTTTGATCTGTCAATAACGCCGCCGATATCTTTGTTGCTCTTGACCCCATCGGACTGGCTAACTCTGGCGCAATGTTAATAAAAGAGTCAAAGAGAGGGCATAAAACTTAGAAAGCGACAAGAGCATAGAGCAATTAAGCGGTGAGACGTCCCCGGTACTGGGCAATTAGACGGTGAAACTTTACCCTGTTAATGCGAAAAGAATTTGTATTTTGATAAACTAGACACTAAAGCGAGGTAGGCTAAAAACCGGGTGGGCAATAAAGCGGGTCTGACTGTATTCCCGTCTCATGAAGGCGTTACTCAGGGGGCGATCACTATGACCACAGAAACAGCTTACCACTTATTATCCAGATTAAAGTGTGAAAAGGAACAGATAGCATTGGGCAAGCTGTCTAATTTGATTAAGCAATTAGTTTTTCTTTCCTTATACTTAAAACAGCTACTACTACTAAACACTATCTGCAAAGTGCTAGAGGAAAATGAAAATCTCCACTAGAACGTACCACATTCAGCAAGTCTGTATAAGTTTTGCGTTTTCGTTGGTTGGCTTGCTATCAACTGCATCATACGATATAATTGATTGTAGATTGCAACTACAATGAGCTGCACCAGCATACTGAATGACACTATACGTGATAGTTCTGTGAGGATGAGTTTGACGACGGTCACATGAAAGCGCTTTATGGGTGAAGAGTTTCAATGCTGCTGTCACGCCACTGCACTCCAGAACGCGTTTCATCCTTGCTTGGGCTCTTTAAGCAGAAACAACCTGAGCTGGAAGTAGCGCTCGGCACGCAGTGGTTGACAACCAACTTTGTGATCAACAACCCAGTGAGCTCCGCAAGCCAGTTCGTCCTCAGTTTTGGTCCTCTTCCTACACACAATTCTTCGTCATGCGAATGAGAGAGCAGACGATCCGCATCAACAATTTGCCGCTAGGGGCCCAAGACGATGGCAATGTTGTACTCCTTTTTATCTATGTCACATAAAATCCTTACCATACCTTTATTTGCGATTAAATCAGCTGATATAGCCTTGCTAACTATATAGCGGCAAGGCCTGTCTAAAACGAATGTACCTTTAGATCATCTGCGCGCTGCACCTCAGCCGGCAGTTAGCTTAACGCTGGGCATGGTTATGCATGACGAACATGTTATTGGATGGTTACTTGACAATCATTTGCTGCGCTTCATTGACGGAATCGATAGCTATGGCAACCGCGCCTCTCTCAACTGGACTGCTAAAATTGAATTACCCATGTAGAATTTCAATCCTCATGTGTTCGAGGGAATGTGCGTGGCTGGTAAGTGCAAGTGTCCCGACTTTCAGTTAGTGCTTTAGGTAAAATTCCTCTAAGCCGGTTTATTAGTCTCTTCACGATGCTATCTGCATCACACGCATTAAGCGCTGACTGAACGACTACCACATACATTCGAAATAATTTGAAATACTGGCAGCCCGGTTTGGTTGTTTACTTGTTAGTGGCTTGGTGGGCTTGTTTTATTGGCTCCATAAATTTCGTCACCAAGTCCGGTTACACCAACAGTGCGAGGACGTGCAGCAGCCAATCTAGCTGATTAGGTCGTCCGTCCACACTCGAGGAGTAGGAAAAAATTTAATGAAAGATCTTCGACTTGAGCCCCTTGACCTCTGCTCATTTGTGGCTGGAACGGTTGTCTGTGTTGTTCGTCCCCTATCTTACTTGAGCTGGGATCGCCGTTTTGGTCCGCTGATAGTTGTATCTCTGTTCATCTGCGTGTGATCAGACTAGTGATGACATAGAAACCTAATCAGGAAGGGAGTTCTTAGAAGCCTGGATCTTATGCATCATACGCATTGGTGTCAGTCCCATGTTTCAACAACTCAGAGGGGAAGATCTCAGGCTAATCCGAAGCCAAAGTTAGAAGGGTGAAACGAGACGAACAACTCAGGTGCCTGTGTCAGTCGCAGAGGCAAATATGCAAAGGCCGAGGCACGAATCTAAGATTTCAATTGCAAAATTCGTCTGCACGTCGATCACGAACAGATGACCTAATCGGCTAGATTATTTGATACGCTTCGCCTCCCCGTTGGTGTCACCTCACTTGGTGACCAAACTTACCGGACTCGCATAACTACACAATAACACAATTGCATATACCTAGCAAAATTGGCACTGTCCCATCCTGGGAGGTTATAGTGGTAATAAGACTCCCTTTGGTCTTGCATTCTGGCCGGTCACTCGATTACGATAAGTTTCACATTGCGGATATGGTGTCGGCTGAGATGCTGCGAGCTCGCATACAGCAAAGTAGGATCGTCCGCACCACCTTAACATCCTCGAGCTCCACATCCATATAGGCGTTGTCTATTAGTTAAACGATGTAGCTCAATGACTGCAGATTAATGTCATAGGTAATCACGCTAGACATAGGAAATCTGGGAAGTAATTTCAATGTTAGCAATTCTCTGTTGTACCTAGATCATGTAGGCAGTACAAGCATGTCTGGTTTTCGAGTGTTAGGTCGAACACACTGACCGAGTTCTTTGTAATGGACTTAGTTACATTTTGAGGGCGGGTATATCAACTGAAAGTAGAGGGCCTAATTTGCTGAGCTTGTACTAGATGGATTGAGCTGATTAAGGTAAAAATACGACATCACACAGGAGGTCGTTGTGGTACCACTGCTGTCCATTGGGATCAACAAGTTAGTCAACCAACTATGAGAGCACAAAATCTGATCGTAAAACTATAGATATTTGAGTAATGATTAAATTGCGCCACTTGTCGTGGCTATCCATCAAGGTAAACTCTAAATTTCCTGATCCATTGACGGACGCTACTTTCTTTGTAGTCGGTTTGTAGGCGGGAAACAAAGGATTATTGACTGTTTTCATGTAGGACGCTCCTATTTGTCAGGTTGCACGCACTGAATTGTCCCGGAGACATTTGGATCTATTATAATTTCATCACCATCATCTGTTTTCGTCTCATTTCTTGAACACGTAGATGGACTTACACCGACCCAAGCATCCTGCAAATGGAAACATTCCTCGGTGATGTAGCTGCCTACGGAGGAGGTGGTTATTATGAGGATTTATCGAATAACCGGACAGAAGCAGACGAACAGCTTGTGCAGTTATTTGAAAATTTATGGCTTGATCGAGGCACCAGAGCAGTGTTCCTACATTTTACCACGTACAACGCAAATCTGAATATTTTCTGTGTTGCGGAGTAAGTCATTTATTGTATAAAGAGCGTTTTATACCAGTGCATCTGTCAGCTATATTGCAGTATTGTTTCGATATACGCCACTGAACAAATATCAGTTGTGTTGGTGGTAATGAGTACGGATTAGTTAGTACCCATAAATGCCCAAAAACGGACTTCCACAAACCAACATTAGCATAACTGCTAATGGAGACAACGTGACCAGCTGAGTGAATTAGGTTCGTCTGTGCATATTATTAGACGAACCACCCTCGGGCACTGATTGCTGCCGCTGTCGATGAATTGATCGTCGTAAGCAGACACCAAGCTACCGGAGCGATAACGGTAACTCACATAACACAGATCGTTGTACGCTTGCATAAATACAAGTTAGTTCCTTTCGATGTTTAAGATTGTAACACAGGAGCAGAAGTACTCTTAAGTAGAATAATTTTGATGTAAATAGTTTGGGGTACCTGCGCATGATCTGTCAAAACAAATAATCTTCCACCTGACCAGGAAAGCACTAGACAAGGACGGAACTAGTAAGAAGCCAATATGCACTTAGTCGATAAAGCGACAAGGCCACAATTGAGTCGTTTAGACAACTGAAGGGATGCCGTGTAAAATGGATGCGCGTGGAGCTTTACAACACGACTAACATCAACTGCGATGTCATTGCGGTGATAGCACGTCCGGAGAGGAGAACCAAGTGTTCCTGATAAACAGTGAATACGGTGGATGCTACTGAACTAGTAATGATTTATCGTCTCTCCAGTTGCTGAGGTGTTTGTCAGCCTAATGATTGCACACGTTCGTCTAGCTTTACGCGATATTTGCCGTGAGTATTGGACCAAAACCCAACTAACGTTAATCAGGACTTTTCGTGTCTTTTATGTGGTTAGCATGCTATGCATATTAGGCCTTTAGCAGAATACTAAAAATGAGACAATTGTTTCATACGGGCCAAGAGCTAAAGCTCAACAGATCCCGTAAAATGCTTATGGTGAAACTTGAAAATATGGAAAAAATGTTAGCAAAACTGGGTTTACACCAATGAACTCACTGTGCTAAACCTTTTATAGACTGTAAATCCCAGTAAAATCCATAAGGAATGACGACAAATTGGATGCTGGTAAAAATCGTCTCCTCCTGGTGTACACATACAAGAGATGAAAAAAGTAGAACGACATCTGTGATTTGATTGCCAGAGAAATCTCTTACAGACACTTGTGTTTATCCATGGGTAATGAGTCATGTAAGATGGTGCAGCGAAATAAGTGCACGGTCAACTCCCGCTTTGAGCTCTGTCAGCGTGGCGGCACGTATGACAGATTCCCGTAGGGTTTTCCAGGTTCTGCAAACGCGTATGGAAAAGAAATTCCGACGGCATTCCAAACGACTGTATTGTCCCGCCATTTTGAGACGGGGCCTGGTTACAATTGATTAGCTTCAACGGTGCGGAACTAGAGTCATTGGCAATATACTGTTTCCTACAATAGACCTGCTTGTTTCGAAGCGAAAACTTCTAGTCAACAGGTAGAATTGATGAGACCAGTGTTCAATGTTACTATACAGACATCTCATTGTAGCACAAGGCGAGGGGGCAGTTTGCCTCTTAAAACTCTTCAAGGTCCAGCACTTTTAAATCGTCTAAACTGATGGGCGATTTTCTCTATCTGCGATAGAAACAGCTTGCTGTTGCTAATTCCTTTGAAATACTCCTTCTGCCGATGAATGACGGCATACAATATCAACCGGAACATAACGTTTAGAAATTAGCCTGGGTTAGTTTGGTTGTTAAGACCATGAGAGTTGAGATGACTTGTCGCTGTGCATTCACACAACAGGTGTTCCGGACGAATGAACCGTTATGACAAACCCTACCTACGTTGTGGTGGAACAGGGTTAGAGACGTCAGCTGGTAATTGCTAATTCCCGGAGTCGGATCGCGGCGGTTCTGTTTTCACTTAGACAGTACAAACAAGCACGAACAGGGTCTTAAAGTGTTATGATGCGAACCGGCGGTGCCTGACAATCGTCTACCTCGAGACTAGTGATTTTTAAGGGTCTTATTTTTGCGGGAAAATCAATAAGCAGATTTCATTGGGTTCCAATTCTAACAATAACCTTTTTTAAGTTCAAGGAAATACGAAGCTAGTTGTGCTGTGACACAGGAGGAGCGATTGATCTTGACGACATCTATTCATCCCAAGTGGACCTCTGCTAGTTGATTTTGTAAGCACATCCTCATCCCCCAATTGTTACCATCCTACCCAACGACTAACTGAGCTACCTCATACCATCTTTCACCTTTCCTCTGTGACACATTATAGTGATAATAGGGCACATTTCCTCGTGGTCCAAATGTCTGCAATTCGAATCATCCTCATCCACCGTACATGGTCTTCCCTTTCAGAATATTAATTGAATTTCCTGCAACAGGTGGAGCACAAGTCAGCCCGCGATTCCGTTCAATCAAGTTGCTTCGTTACGTCACTACCTTGGACTATTTCGTGTTGGCGTGTGAATGCATTTTCACTATGTTCACGTTCTATTACATCGTTGAAGAGGCCATCGAAGTGAGCCAGTAGTTGTTTCGATGATATTTCTGTATGGTACTGTTTATGGGTGCTATCGCTGTCTGTCACACAAACAATAGATAAATCAACTCAAAATAGACTTTACGTACTTAATGGGAAACAGTTTCAGCGTTTTGTCATTAGACTGCAGCTTGTATGATGCAACAAATTGATTAATAATTACGAACAGAGTGGGAAAACGAATAAGCATATTTCGCTCACGTAAACATTCGTGCTTGGTATTTTAGAAAATTCCTAAGAGTCCATCAAAAACTTGTTTAATTTATTATGATAATAATACATGGTGCACAAATGCCAGACCCTGAATTTGCAGCGTGCAGAAGGACGGGTAAAAGATTTTGATAAATCGTCCCACAGGAGTGATTTGGTTCATTTAAAGCACTTAAGGATAGGTTGTCGCATGCGCCGATATGTTTAGGAACCATGATGTACAATCAGAGACTCTCTGGGCAGTCCACTTCATCTGGAGATGGGCTTAATAAAAGCAAAACCAGTGTAAAGTCTTTTTTGAAGAAAACCAGGAAAATGATAGCTGAACAACAAAGTCGGGGAGAAAAGAGTACAGACAGTCTCGAATTTATAAATAAATGAGCATCGTATTGAGGACATGAAGGGATAATTTTCATACCTTGTGGAAGGTTTCATAAACGTGTATTTACCAAGGTAGATTTAGAGTTAAATTGCATGAAGGTAATTAATATTAGGTAAACTGATTACAATGTGGTTGCTCACGGCCAGAAGGCCATGGTTATTTGTTCATGCCCGAAGTTTATCTGCGACCGAAGCGATTTATGCATTCCATGCTATCTTCTTTGCTTATAGCCCAATCGGCTGCGTATGATCTAGGTGACTAGACCATCGAAAGTTATTCCGTCTGATATGGGAAACTGGCAGTAGGAGACCTGCGGTTAGTGAAACAATTTATGGCGAGATTCGACAGCCTATTCACAATTTGTCAAAACCTTTGGAGCGTTGGGCTGAGCATTTTGAAAAGAAATTTAACAGGCCGGAATTGTTCAATTCCCCATCGGCCAGTGATCGCCCTGCTCCGTGGGCTTTTCCTTTGGATCCGCCCTCTCACTCAGTAGTCAAAAGAGAGATCGGACTGTTGAAGTTGAACAAAGCTGCAGTGCCAGATGATCTACATCCAGCCATTTTCAAATTCGGGGGCCTTACTGTTGTTGATGATTTACTCGAATTACTAATGAAATGATGGGAGCAGAAAACTGTCACAGCTGACTGGAGCCGCTCCGGTATTGTTCCCATCTTCAAAATAGGCTCACCTTCAGAATGCGGCAACCATAGAAGAATCAGTCTGATCTCCATCGGCTCCAAATTACTTGCTTCTCACATCTTTCATAGAAGGATTGGCGATCGTGAAAGCCGGAATCTTGAGGAGTAAGCCGGGTTTCGTCGTGATTGTGGCTGCATCGACCACAAATCCACATGGCGTCAGTTGATGGAGCACCGTCACAAATATTAACTGCCCACCGTTGTCATGTTCCCTGGCATCAAGAGTACTTTCGATTCAGGGCTCGATGTGCACTTTGGGACTGTCTACTAGGGAGGCGTGTGCTTGCGAATTATGTAAATCTTATGCGAGCAATACACGCGTGTAGCACGGGCAGAGTAAGGGCTTACGGCAGACTGTCGCGCCCTTCAATATCTCTAGCGGTGTTAGACAAGGATGCTCATTGTCATCTTTCCTTTTCAACTTCGGTATTGACGAAGTCATAGAAATCGCGTTCACGGGACAGAACTTAGGTGTGGAGCTGTGCCTAGGTGAATGGCATGTTGACTGGGAGTATGCAGACGATATTGTTATCATCTGTGCCAGCTCCCAGACGTGTCAAGCCGCACTGGACAGATTAGTATTGGCTGTCAGCAGCTGCAGGCTTTGCTTTGCACCATAAAAGTGCAAAGCTTTCCTCCACGATTGGCAGGGCTCGCCTCCTGCGCTGACCCTTGGTGGGGATCAGCCAGAAGTTATTCAGAAATTCAACTACCTGGGAAGTTGTATCAGCATCATTGGGATCGAAGATGAAAACAGTAACCATATGCCAAAAGCACGAGGTGTTTTTCTAGTCTTAGTCACCTATGACGGCGGTGCGCCATCACACTCGCTCTGAAGGGTAGAGTGAACAATGCAGCGGTACGTGCGACCTTACTGTACCGTTGCGAAACCTTGCCCCTCAGATCAGCGGACATAAAGAGACTAGTTAACTTCGACCATCGGTGCCTTCGCAATATGGCTCACATCTTGTAGGAACGCCGCGTGAGCAACGAGTGTGTGTTTGACGCCTTGTTTACGACACAGGAAATGGAACAGAACCGTTCAGCACCGTCATTTCACGCACCAGACTCCAATGGCGTGGCCTCGTTTTACGCATACCAACCCACTTGCTCACGCGAGGTGCGTTGTTTGCTCGCCTGGGGTGTAAATGGAATAAGAAAAGAGATGGCCAAGCGATAACTTGGTCGAGAGCAATGAAGGCCCTCAGTCGGAGCTATTTCAGTTTGGAGCGTCAGGGCTCCCCGGTTGGGGTCCAAAAGAGGAAAACATTTGGCTAGATACACTTGCTGACCTGGCTAGGAGCCGACCACATTGGCGTTAGTAACTTGAGTTTCTTTGTCCCTCCCTATCCCTTTTGGCCTTCCCATCTAACCATGACCTCAGTTCATAGCATAATATAATTTTTCGAAATAATTTTTGTTGTCTAGTAACTGGCTGGAATCTTTCTGGAACCAGGCCCATCCGTTACCGGTAGCTCAACTGCCTTGCATCTGCTGCATTATATTCTTTATGTATTGCGGCACAGTAGCTGAGGTTTTTACACCTCTAGGTAACGTGTATAATGATGGTGATGAGGTTTAAACCTGTTTCCATTCAGTTGAATACTCTAACTTCAGTTGTCGGCCATCGTCGCCTAATACTACAAGTAGAAGAGATGACGTCCAGAAGCATTTCTTTCGCCATGCTTTGTGCCAAGTATCGGGGGCGTCAGAAGCATTTGTTTAGCATTTTACGCTCCGTTTGTTGCCTGCTTTGCAAACAAAGTCTTCTATTAGGCGGCCGGTACGGACGAGCGCCGTGACACGGTTTTGGGATCCGAAGTGGTCCTTCTGCGTGCCACGCAAAGAGTTTATGAAAGCAGTGCGCCATCCGACCCAGGTTGCCACGCTGTCCACTGCCGCTGACGAAGTCATCTCGTCATCATGGCACGGGTTACTGTGACGAGGAGATGGCGAGGATATTTGCAGATCAGCAGACAGGTGAGGACAGTCGGCCAGCAACTTATGGTCGGAGATAAGGACGAGTGACCTATAAATTTGTAGAACATTTGGTTGCTTTTTTGCGTTTTGATCCGGCCAAAAGAAACATAAAAGTGCAGAAAAAGGAAGATAACGTTAATCTGTTAAACGCGATGGCCAACAAACTCGTCTACCGGACCTAGTAAACTTTTGCGGATCGGCTTTGGAAGCGATCGACTTCGGAATTGCGTCATGTCTCGAAGTCTGTGAAGCCGCAAATGATATGCCGTCCTTTTCGGCTGGTGACCCGTAGTCGTCTTCGTTGTCGTTATGGGATTCGAAATGAGAGACTTTGAGTAGGTCAATGCTAACGGCTTCGCGTTTACTGCAGCATCCAATAATGAGAACTCAGTCTTTACGATGGATGACCTTAAATAGGCTTTCTTATGGGTGCTCTAACGGCTTGCGAATGTCGTCAACGAGAACAAAGACCTACAAATTCCGTAGTTGGTCTTGGGAAACGAACGCTTTACGCTTGAATTCCCTGGATTTGAACCGCCGAGATAATCGTAGTTTGGCAGCTACTTGTTGGCCATACATAGGGTCGTGGAGACAAGGTTTTATGGCGAACAAGAAGAAGTATCCGGGAAGTCATAGAGTTGGCCACAGACTACTTCAGCGTAAAGCTTCGAAGACCGTCTTTGATTGCTGTGCGGATGCCCATCAGTACATCTCTAGGGCTTCCGATGAGTTGAGTACGTCAATTGCACTGAGGGACGTTTTGAGCTGTCTACGGAAACACTAGATCATACCACTTGAAGCAGGATGGTAGGCGGTAGTGTGAACGCGATGAGTATTTAGCGCTATGGGCGTCTCTAAGAAGATGCAAGATTCAAACTGAGGGCCTCTATCAGTAGTCACGGTTCAAGCGCAGCTATGAACAGGTATCCAGGGACCGAGGAAAGCTCGTGTGATTGTTTTAGCTGCGAAGTCAGGAAACAGTATAACTTTAGGTCGATGAATGCAGCGATCAATACTGGTCAGGATGTAGGCCATTCACTCAGACTGTGCTTACGGTTTAACTACCTCATGGACGTGTGCAAAAGGGGCGGAAATTGGGGAAAACGACCGCTCCGAGCGGATATGTGTTGCTGAGCCTTGGCTTTCTGACATGCCAAGCAACTAGGTGCCCATAGTCTGAGGTCGCGCTGCGTACCACACATACCGCTGTTTATAACTGGATGAGCGATATTGTACTGAATGTCGAAAAAGATGCGAATAAAAAATTTGGGCACGACTGGTCTCGGACGTCCGGAGAATGTATCGCAAATGATAGTGTCATCAGATGACAGCAATCGGTTTGGTACGATTCTCAAAGATAAATCTGATAAACCGAACTTAAAATCATTATCATTTTGTTGTACCTCTGCCATGGCAGATAGATCTATTGCCTGTCCGGCGAAGGTACTTGTGGCGACGCGAGAAATGACCTCTGTAACAACTGTATTCCTACCGAAAATGGATGGTAGGTCTGTAGAAAACTGGGCCTTAAAATCTAGCTACTGAACCCCACATGGCGATTGTCGAGCTGATTGGTTTGGGAAGGTGTAGAGTAGCGGTTTATGGTCGATTCAGATAATGTAGGCGCCAACTTCAAGGACGTGTCGGATATGTAGAGCAGCAGAATAGGCAGCCAGCTGTTCGCGACTGAACGTGCTGTATTTGAT